CCCAGATTGAATCTGGGCCTATCTGATGGTCACGACCTCATTTCGTGTTTAAATTTTCATTTTTTTTCCACAAATCCAAATCACTTGAAATTTAGAGCGTCTATTCTTAAAAAATAGAAGAAACCAATAAAAATATAAAAAAAATAATTCGCAAAATATATTAACCAAAATACCCCTGAAACATTTTAGGGGTATTTTTGTCAATTTTATTTTGCGATTTAGTTTTTATATATTTTTATTAGGTGCGCCTTGATGAGAAGAATGAACTCCTAAAATTTCAAGTGATTTGGATTTGTAGAAAAAAATAAAAATTCAAATACGAAATGAGATTGTAACCGTCATATCAGCTCAGATTGAATCTGGGCCATTGACTGACACTGTAGCAGTCAGCCTGTGGGTTGACAGAATCCACTCCCATATTTATATATATGTATGAGTAATGATCCTATGAGTCCCTTACACACATGGGCTGCATAGGACCCCTCTTTATCACCGTCAATCTCTTTCCACATCTTGATGAGAGATAAGGTGCCAAGTCACCTGGTGAAGAAAAAAAAATCAACCGGTTGAAACGACAAAGTTAGAGAGAGAGAGAGAGGGGTCCAAATGTTGCAGGCAGTCACAATTCTCAGCCTTCTTCGTGACCACATCAACCTTAGCATCAATGGCTCCTCCCCCTTTGCGTAATGACCCTTGGCCCAGTTGTTCCCAGCTTTGTTTTGCCCAAAAAACAAAGATATCGAGCCTGAAAATTCGATCAAAAGGTCTTGTTCTCGGACTATCCATGGTGCTCGGTTTAATGTCCCCATTGTATGAAGCAGTGGATTCCATCCGTAATCATTCGAGACAACCTCCCAAAGCTTGCCATTGGTTCCACATTGGCCTACTTGGATATGGGAGATTTCTTTAATTTTGGGGATCTGGGGTGAGGGAGAAACACACCAAAGATTTGGGTTTTAGAGAGAGGGCTTTCTCCCTCAAGAAAAAAACACAGGAAAGATTGGGTCTTTTGCAAAAGAAACTCTTTCTCTCTGTCTCACACACACACTCGATAGATTGGGCTTTTGGGAGAATGCCTCCCCTTCTTTCTCTTAATGCAAGATTGGGTTTTTGTGAAGGTTCTGTTTATTGCTTTCATATGAAAAAGAACAAAGAGAATGGGTTTTTGGAGTAGGGTTGCTTCTTCTCTCTCTTGGAAACTTAGGAGAAATGGGGTGATGGGTGGTGGGGATTGGAGAGAGAGAGAGAGAGAACAGGTAGCAAGTGCTGGTGTGTATGAGATGTTCGGCAGGGTTTATTTGAGGAGAGCGAGAGCAGGGGATATATTTTTGAGAGATGGGGGCAACAACAGTTGCTCAAAATATTAGAGGGGAGCAATGCTCAAAAAGTTTCTCAGCCCTCCATCACTCAAGCAGCCATGGACCAACTCCTTAACTTGTATTTGGAAATACAAAACACAAGCCACTGCAGAGGAGCCCAACCATCATAGGGGAACCCATCCGTTACCACCACCATATCCTTTGCAATTGGTCTGGGAAGCAAACAATCCAACACAAATGCAATCGAACACAAAAACCAATATGAGGGCATGCAACAAGTCAACAAACCCTAATAGAAAGTTTGCAGGGAGAGTGGGATTGCATAGAAAGCTCGAAAGTTTGATTTTACTTGAGAGTGCGAATGCACAGTAGTTTTTTTTTCTTCCTGCCTTTGACATTTCAAACGGTTGAGTTTTATTTCTTTACCTGGTGACTTGGTACCCTATATATCATCGAGATCTAGATAGAGATTTCTCGGTGATAGAGCGGGGTCCTATGCAGCCTATGTGTAGAGGGTCTCATAGGATCCTTACTCTTATTATGTATCCATAATTAATCATAACAAATATTTACTATTATTATAAATTTTAGAATGTTAGAAAATACTTTTTTGTCTTTACCATGAAGTAGAAATTCCACTTTTATCTTTTACAAATTTTTTAATAAATTTATATTTTATAGTGTGAAGTTTAAAATTTTCCAAGATTCATGATTAATTTTTATATTTTTACTAAGAACTTTTAATTATCGATTTTTTTTTATGTATTTTCATATTTCAGACTGACGTGCGAAGCACGTAATCCAAATAGTAGTTCCCTAGAAATAAAGTGAGAACAAAAATTTATCCCTGGGTCTCTGTCTCTCAAAACACCTTCTCTCTCTCTCAAAGATCGAAAACACCGCCTTTCTCTCTCTATATATCTGTTGCTCTCTCTCATCTCCTTGAGCCCTGCACTGACCTCGCCGTGCTCCGAGGATAGCCGCCTTTTGGGAGACCCTGGCTGTGGTGTTGCTTCACCAACCGTCTGATTGAGAGACCTTTAGGCTTCAAGTAGCGAGGGTTCCCCAAGTTGCACCCCCTATCTCGAGATAGATAGGAAACCTCCAAGAGCTGTAAGGTGGCGATGACAGGAGACGAAAATGCCAGTCCCAACCGTCATTGCTTACCTCGAAAAGATGACAGGAGACGAAAAGGCAAGTCCCAACCATCATTGCTTATCTCGAAAAGGTATGTCTGCCCTTGATCTACCTGCCTTTTTGAGGATTTTCCTATCGAGCCTTTCCCTGCATCCCACCTTTTTAAGATAGCCTTCCTTTCTTTGGGCTTTTCTATCTGGTTTTGCTTGTTCCTTGTCTCTTTGCCGTTATCAGTTTTCCAAAGCCTTGGAAGCCCGGAGGGTACAATTTTGGAAGCCAAACACTAGCCGATAGCCATTCGTTCTCTGGACTCAGTTCCGGCTTGGGTGGTTAAGAACTTCTCGGAGTGGGAACTTGCGGTCAACTGTGGCCATCTTACTGTGAAAGTGCCTTCACAGAATGCTACACTAGAACACCTTTATTGGGTTCTTCTTTTTGCTGCTTGCCTTGGCAATCCTATTGTGGTCACTAAATCCTCCTCAGAGGATGATGACCTTTCTCCCCGCTCTCGTAATTGAACTAATAACCATATAGGAGAATGAAAGTTCAAGGCAAGGCGGCCGAGATGGTTAGTGCCATGAAGACTATAACGGTCTCCATTGTGGTGGTTGAAGAGGCCATTGGGATTAACGATCTCAATTGGAACCTGGCGCCCAAAAGGAAGAGAGTTAAAACATAAAGAATTATCATCCAAAGGAATACGAGTAACTAATTTCGTCGCGCTAATAAAGTTCAATACCACACATCCGAATTAAACTATATTTATCACAAGTTCACAACCGCAAAACCAATATAAGCACTCTTATATATATATGGGAAAGGCTGGCGTTAGCCCACTAACTAACAGCTACAGTGTTAGCCAACGGCCGAGATTGAATTTGGGCCTGATCCAATGGTCACGATTGTATATTGTATTTGTATTTTTATTTTTTTTCTACTAATCCAAATCACTTGAAATTTTGAGTATCTATCCTTAAAAATAGGATAATCTAATAAAATAATAATAATATGCGAAAACTAAATTGACCAAAATACCGTCAAAGCATTTAAGGGGTATTTTGGTCAATTTATATTTTACGAATTATTTTTTTAATATTTTTATTAAGTGTGCCTT